AGTAGCACTTTATTTTACTAGTAAAATAAAGTAGCACTTTATTTTACTAGTACAATAAAGTGCTATTTTATTTTACTAGTACAATAAAGTGCTATTTTTTTGACGCAAAACTGTTCTATAAATAGCACTTTATTGGTCAATCGGATATAATCGTATTTTATTGTTTTGTGCATTCTTTCCAGGTGTTAAGACTACAATTGAGTCGGTTACAAAATGCCCATGCCGAAACACAGCTAACATATTCATTTTGAAAATATCTTCCGAAATCTTCAGTAACTGGATCCTCAATAAGCTGATTAACTACACTAGTAGAGTCCGTCGATTTTAATCTGATACTCCAAAGGAATGTGTGCTGATGGCTTCCTACATTAGAACGCCAATGGCCACCTGACGTCACACCTGTTTTTGCCATAAGCTTCACCTCCTCGCTCCTCATACGGAAAGTGTCAAATTAAAAACGACGGACAATAAGCATGTTTTCAAATGCATTCCGGTCTATCTCTTCTATCAAAGTTCTCAGCAATTTTTGAGTTTCAACTTATTTCTCTTTCAATTTTATTCTTGATAAATTCTTCCGCCAGGCTTTATCGACGTGCCATGTCTGTGGGTTGGGATTGACATAGTACTGATGAAGGAATTAAAGGAACAATTTGCCATATCGGCCTTGAAAACATTTGGTCGAACAATACCACATTTTTCTCTGACACATTTTAAAAAAACTGAAAGAACATCTTGTCATAGCGGTTAGTTATTAAAAAGCCACAGGGAAAACCCTGTCTTAACAATATCATGATCCAGTATAAAGTGAACACCCCCTACCTTTTCGCTGAAAATTTTTTTTTTGAAAAAAATCAAGATAGCCATTTGGTGTATTTTGTTTCTAGGAGTTTGAGAACGTTTTTCGAAATTTAATTAGATTTTTCTTTAAAGCGCTGTGACCAAAAAAGTAATTTTTCTAAATGGAATAACCTATATTTGAATCAATTTTTTAAAAGTGCGTATTTTTCCCATTTCAAATATATAGTTTTTTTCTTTATTTTAAAAATTTGCAATATATTCTCACTCTAAAATTCAAATAAAAATAACCGAAAAGGTATCAAGGTAAATCTAAATAAATTTACCTTTGATAAAACTGCTGGTGATTATGTTTTATGATTTACCTTTTCGGCTATTTTTATGTGAATTTTGAAGTGAGAATATATCGCAAATTTTTAGAATAAAGATAAACCAACTATGTATTTGAAATGGGAAAAATAGGGACGTTTAAAGAATTGATTTAAATATAGGTTATTCCATTTAAAAAAATTACTTTTATGGTCACAGCGCTTTAACGAAAAATGTAATTAAATTTCGAAAAACGTTCTTAAACTCCTAGAAACAAAATACACCAAATGGCTATCTTGATTTAAAAAAAAAAAAAAATTTAGCGAAAAGGTAGAGGGTGTTCACTTTATACTGGATCACCCTGTACATATATGGGAGTTATGGGACAAGTGAACGCCGATCAGCTGCTGAGATCTGCTTGAAGCACGAAAAGCAGTACAAATGAACAGCCTAATACTGTACAGCTCCAAATCATATTCATTTATGGGTCCCTTTGGTTGAAAGTATTTTTGAGATCTAGGCTTACAAGCAGCTGATGTGAGCCCTCCTTCCTATTTCTGTCTATAGTCCTAGTTAACTGGTGAAACGCTTCAACCGTTCCCGTCCCTTCTCTGAAACCATACTGTCTTTGATTTATATTGCCCGTTCTCTCCAGGTGAAGTTGTTGTCTTTTGTTGAGCATCTTGTCTAATATCTTTCCCAACATTGGTCTCACGTATTTAACGCATTGCGTTTCTTTCTCGAGCACCAAAATTGTTCTGTATTTATTAATTTTAGTATTTTGGCAGCCTAAATGAAGTAATTTGGTGCAAAAACGAATATAATCTCCTCGTTTTTATTCTAATCGGTGACTTCACCGATGAATTAGCTATCTTTGTTTAGTGAATAGAAAATGACAATAACGGACATAGAATGGTGGATCCATCAGTAAAATTTAATGAGAATAAAAACGCAGGGTAATCTGATGATCGGTTCAGTCGCTATGTTTAAAACTCGACAAATCCAAGATGGCGGTGTTTTTTCAAAATAGCCGATTTTCCCCAAGATGGTTTTGATAGATAAAGGATGGTTTCTTCCTTATTTTGCTCAAGTGAATGACGGGATTCAGAGGGGATTACGGGACTTGTTTACACCACGAATGCATCCCTACCATGACCCCCCTCGAGCAGCTCACCTCTCCTGGCCCATGGGGGATCATGTCACTTGTCATCACAACAAACATCAGTTTATGAATGAATGAGATGTGGTGTCTATCTGTGTTAAGATGTCATTGGTTTACCCTCTCATGAACAAGTAGGTACCTTCAACCAAGGAGTGCGTATTTTTCTAGAAATCAAATTTTCAGAAAAATGCTGGCGCAGGTGAAAAATTTTCGACTCTTTTGGTGCAGTTTCTGCAGAAGAGCATGGATATTACAGAGCAAAACTACATCAGTATAACAAAAATAGCCCAATCTAATTCCATTTTTTTTTTTAACATACAAGCAACTATAGCTTTTTTGAGATGTCATGTTCATTCTGTCAACCATAGATTTTCTAAGCTCCAAATAGGAAATACAAGGTAGTTTTTTTCGAGTAATACGGGTCAAATAATTACTTGCCTCATCAGTTCAAATTAAAGTTAAGCCTTTTTGTAGGCCGATAAATTATCATACTCTATGTTTTTAAGAGTGATTTCAACTCTACGACATGCATCTTGGTAAAGTTGTGCACTAAAATTGAAGCCTCAAGAAACAAAATATTCTATGTTCAATAACATTGTAGTGCGAAACCAAATAGATTTATTTCATCCTGATCAACCAAAGATTCAGGTCAACCATCATATCCTGGCGCAGATGTGCCTTCTGACCATGTACTATTGGTGGCCGTCTTGAAAATCTCTGTCAAGTCAAAGAAAGCCACACAGCGATGGGTGGTGTTAGAAAAATTGAGGGATCCAGTAATAAAATCTGAGATGTATAATGAGATACACACAAATACAAATAATAACATCGAATATTGGAGAAGAGCCAACACAAGCCTGGACAAAGATAATGGACATTGCAACAAACTCAATGCAAAACAGATTAGGATATAAGGCAAAGAACAAAAAACAAAAATGGATGACGGATGAGATTTTGCTGTTATTGGATGAACGTCGAAAATATAAGAACAAAACCGACAGCAATATGTACAAGGATATTCAAAGACTCATAAGATCAAAGATTAGAATAGCAAAGAACGAATGGCTTAAACGTGAATGCTGAGAAAAAGCAGCTGCAAAATCAACACGATGTCTTTAACTCACATGAAAAACTGAAGGAGACTGCCGGCATATATAAAAAAAATGTGACAAACTAACAGTAAATAATAACAATCAGATAGTCCTCGTTCTCAATGTTTGAGAAAGGTATATTGAAGAACTTTTTGACGACGACAAACCCGCAGCTGGTATCAAACTCTTAACCGGTCCATCGATCATCAAGGACGAGATTGAAAATGCCATACGTAGTTCGAAAAGTTACAAAGCGGCTGGCCCAGATAAAATCCCTTCAGAAATACCTAAACTCCTAGATGTGTGCTGTCTCCGCTCCTGTTCAACTTATATTCGGAAGCGATTTTCCAGGAGGCTTTGGAAGACGTGAAAATGGGAGTCAAAGTTAATGGAGTGTGGATTAACAATATCCGCTATGCTGACGATACGGTCTTAATTGCTGATAACAGTCACGACCTACAACAACTAATCAACAAGGTAGGAGAACAGAGCAAATCAATGGGCTTAAATATCAACACCAAAAAAGCAAATTTTATGATTATCCCTAGAAACCGAAATATGTTTGATTATTCCACTCATGTGTTAGAAATCCCATAAGACAAGTGACGATTTTCAGAATTACAGCGACAATTCTCTTTTCCATTTGTTTAACTAGAGAGAATTACAGCGATAATTCTCCCATGTTATTGTATATATGGTTGTCATGCTAATTTTTGATACAAACAAACGGTTCCTGATAGCAACCATTTATTTGTATTGATTGTTAAGATGTTCAAGTCGTTTAATACATTATTATTTCCATATTTTTTGCATTCTCATACGTGAAATAATCCTCTAAATACCACTTGAGCTTTAAAATGAACCAGATAATTTTTCACTCATGCGTGTTTTCTCTGCAAATTTACGAATTATAGAAAACACGCAATCGTGAAAAATTATCGGTAATTTTGAAGCTCTCGTGGTATTATCCCCGAAAACTCCACCATAACATTTAACGCAAGGCCCATAGAGAGAGTAGATAAATTTAAGTACTTGGGCGTCTGGCTTTTCCAAGACTGGACATCAGACAAGGAAATAAAATGTCGCATTGAACAAGCTCGACAGGCATTCTTGAGATTTCGAAGAGTGCTACCTGTTCCGATTTTGACCTAACCTAAGACTCAGATTCATTAAATGCTACGTTTGGTCAGTGCTTCTTTACGGTAAAGAAGGTTGGACATTAAAGGTGACTACAATTAACAAATTAGAGACTTTCGAGATGTGGCTGTATTGCAGAATCCTTAAGATACCTTGGACGACTAAACTAACAAACGAATAAGTCCTAAGACGTGTCAACAAACGACGTGAACTTTTTGAATTGATTAAAAAGAGAAAAACGGCATATCTGGGACACATAATGCGAAACACGCAAATATCTATTAGTGGATACGCATCGGAAGAAGAAGAAGAAATAAGAGAAACTTCTCATTTTCAGTTAGTTTTGTTCCATCAGAAAAATAGTAATTCTCAACTATGCTCAAGAACCGGTTAGTTTATTATGACTCCGTTTTTCTTTCAGTCTACTACCGCTTATTAAACTCTTCAGCTTCTATATTTTAAATTTAAAAAAAAAAACTCAAATTTTTGTTCCATTATCATTGTAGGTCTAGAGGAGGTCAAAGTCTCTCTAGAACAGGAACGTTCTCGTATCCAAAACCAAATGCGCGAGCTGGAAAAGGAACAATTACAAACCGAACACAAAGTTCAAAGCGTCCAGGAAGAACTTCAAAGAGCCCAGACTGCCGGTACTCAACAGCAACAAGAAGAAAAAGAACTTCAAGCAAGGTTACTTAACGAGGCTGAAGAACGAGAACGATCTCACCAAGAGGCGCATCAGCTAAGGAAGCAGATGTCCGAATTGGAAAGGAATCTGGAACAAACTAGACAAGAATTGAATAGAACCCGTTGCCATACTGGGCAATTGGAAGAACAATGGCATGCTAGGGAGCAAGATCTTTTAATTCACTTGGAAGATAGCAGAGCTAAAGAAAAACGTTTGGAAGACCAGAAACATAATTTGGAAGTTTGCTTAGTAGATGCTACACAGCAAATACAAGAACTGAAAGCTAAACTAGGAGGTGCAGAGGGAAGAGTCAGGGCGTTAGAATCACATTTAGCTCAACTGGAATCTTCTAAGCGTGACATTGAACAAAAACTATTCAGTGTTGTATCAACTTTAAGAAGAATTGCTGGTATTCAGTTAGATGGATCAGTTTCAATGCCCTATAGGCTATTGAGTCCTTCAAGACGATGGAGTCCTGCACGAGGTAATAACTTTAACTGAAATTAAACAATACAAACTAATTTGGGTTTTTATTATAGGTCATGATGAAAAAGATGGCGCTATTGATGTAGACCCTGAGGCAGTTAGAAAAGGAGTTAGAAATTTGATGCAACAAGTGGCACAAATTGAAAGAGAAAGAGTAGGAAAATAAATATTCTCAAATATCCAATTTAATAACCTTTTTCTCTATAGGACGATTATAAAACCCAAGTAATTACAGCTAAAAAACAATTACAAGAATCCCACGATACTCAAAGTAAAGGTGACCATAAACTAACCAAAGTACTTCAAAGTCTGAGAGCTTTACAAGAAGAAAAGGGCAGCTTGGAAGCTAAATTAGGACAGAAAAATACAGAATTGAAATCTCATAACGAGGCTTTGATGAAAAAGACTGAGGAAGCGAAACTGATGAGAGAGAAGGTTGTTTCCTTGGAACTAAATTTAAGCGGGGAGAGTGACCAAAAACATCAATACGAGGTAAAATTTACATTGTATTTCTCAGACTATAACTTACACATTATTTATAGGAAAAAATTGAAAAACTCAAAATAGCACTAAATCGATCTGAAGTTGAAAAACGAAGTCTACAAGAAGAATTGGCACGTACTGAAAACAGATCTACTAAATTGGAGCTACAAAGAATGTCTGCAGAAGGCGACTTGCAAAGACTGCAAATGATGTTGCAAGAAAAAGAGGCTACAATCCAGGTTAGTCTTTCTTGTACCTGTCTTTATTAACCCTTAAAATAATGTTGTTTTCTTTCAAGAAACTCCAAGAAAAATGTGATCAACAAAGCAGGTCAGTAGCCAGCTTGGAAGAACGTTGTGTATCACTTAAAACCACAATTGACCAAATGAATTGTTCACTAGAAAAAGCGTCAAACAATGAAAGTGAACTTAAATCAGAAGTACAAAGGCTTCAAAGGAATTTGATGGAGACGATGTCTTCGCAACAGACAGAGTCAGAGAGGCTTAAACAAGTGAGTAAACTGGGCATTTAATTTGAAATTATATTACAAATTTATTATTTAGATGCAAAAAGGATTGGCTAATTGTGAAAACGACCGAAGAGTTATGAACGAAAGACTGGAGACCACACAAAATAATTTGGCGGAAATGCGCCGTAACAATCAGATCTTGCAGGATCAAGTTACAAGACTGAATAATGAATTAGCGAATAATGAAGTACAAAAATCTGCTTTAGAATCTCAACTTAGGTTAGCTCAATGGCCAGCTGATAATCAACTTGGACACCATCAAGAGGAAGAATTGAAAATGCAACTTCATTCTGTCTCAAAGGAACGTAATGAGTTAAGAGCAAAATTGGATTCAGTAAATAATAAGGTGAGATTATTAAGATCATTTATTTAAAAGTCATTGCTAGACAGGTTGTTTTTTTTTTTTTTTTAAGATGAGACAGCTGGAGGTTGAAAATCGAAACTTGGAACGTTTAGCATCAAAATCATCCGGCCGAAGCAAATCTTATGACAAACCGGAAAAAACTTTCGAAAAATTGGAAAAATCATATGAACGCATGGATAAATACGAATCAGACGCTTCGATGAGCGAACTTGAAAAATATGAACAAGAAAATAGAGATCTTCGTATCAGAGTTGCCAGATTGGAAACTGATCTTGCCGAAAAAGAAGCTGAGCTTGCCAGACTTAGATCTCAAAGACCAAGTTTAGATGCCAAATTCGATAGAGCGGAAATTGAGCGGTATAGAGCTGCACAGTTGCAAGCTGAAAGGCTTTTAGAGGCTAGAGAACAGAGTCATAGGCAGCAAGTGTCTCGAATGGAGAGTCAGGTAAAAAGCTTAGATTTTTTATTTATATTGGTTATATTGTCGCATCTTTAGGTTAAACTGTTACGCGAACAACTTAATGAGGAAATCAAAAGAAGGCAGCAGTACGTGTTGAGGAGTACTAAAGCGGGCAGAGAAATGCAACAACTGAGACAGGCTTTGGGAGATTCTTTGCGTACAGTTTCACAGGATCCTTCTTTGGATGCTCTGCTTTTGGAACATGAAGCTAGAAAATTGGGTAAGCGAAAATTTATTCATTCTCATAAACCGACTCAAAAGCAACGAAATTCAAAAATTGAATTCAGAATAGATTTTAGGAAGCAAAAAAAAAAACAAACAAATCTCAAAAATTCTTCTTCTTCTTTTAGATAATATGTCGACTACTGCCAGTTTGCCTCCAGCCTTAGGTTTGCCATCTTCATCGTCTTACAGACGTTCGATGACACCACAACCCAAATAGTTTATTAGTTAATGAAAAGTATTGTAAGGATTTAATTTATGACCATTCTCAATCTCTATTTTGTGATTTTTTTTTAGGTCGTTGATAATTCAGGCTGCACATTGCCGGATGTTAGTTAAATTTATTCCCTAATAATTAAGTGAGCAGTTATCAAGCATTGTGTGTTTATAGTGAAAAAACAAAACATGTAGGATTAGCACCAGAGAAATAATTTTTTTGTAGTTTTCTTTATGTGTTTTTGCAAATGGTAATTTTCGACCAAAGAATGTTTGTTGTAGATTAATACAGATATTAGGGATATTTGGTACAAAATTTTAGCGAAAATACTATGCAGCCAATAAGTAGGTATTCAGAATAACACTACTTTACCAAAATGTTTTTTTTTTATATAAAATATATTAATTTTATATTATTAAAAATAATTTTAACTCATAGGTACAATTAGGACACTTGAATATATCTTGCCATCTGTGGTATTGTTATTTTGTAGGTTGTATGTAATCAATTATTAATAACAGAGAGCAAGCAATAGGTGTACTTACTCAAATGCAATTTCCGTCCAAGTCCCAATGTTGTGAATCATGCTTTAATATATTTCTTGTATTACGACACTGTAATTTTGTGTTTTATTGGGCCTTGAGCCTTGAGAGGCTTTTAAAAATACACTTTTTTATGCAAATTATTTTATTTTAACTTATCTAATGAACTAAATACTAAACTAATAAACTGAAAAATTTAATTACATACATCAAACTGAATAATTTACAATTAAAAACCTTATTATGTGGCCATTCCAATCAAAAATCCGCCGGCAAATCCAGAACTAAATGGAGTATTATTCTTCAAAAAATCCACCAGTTTATCAGACCAAGTTATATTCTGATTGCTCAGCTCAGTTTCGACGCCGTTAGCAACCTTTTCTAGCTTCTTATGAAGTTTACTCCATTGTACTTTGATAAACCCTTTGTCACTTGCAATTTGCAATAAAATTATTCCTCCACCAACTGCAAAAGCTGTAGTTTTAGCTACTCTCATGGCTAAATAGCCAGATATCCAGCCAGATCCGGCTCCCATTAAAATTTGCTTTGTGTTGTCAGATTTACTAACATCAGTAAGGAATCTTGTTATGAAATTTTTTGCTTCTGAGGCTGCCTCTGCCGCCATTATTCGTCACTACAAGAACACAAAACTCTTATAGAAAACAAATCTTTGATTTTTAATAATTTGAATTAAGTATAGGTTTTCAAAAGACCCAGGTTGTTTGCAAACAATACTGTTGCGTAGGTTTTTGTGGAAGTCTTTTTATTGTGGTATTTTGTTTTGCATGTTATGGGCAATATCGATAATGGGTGGGAGACAATATTGATTATTGGTAAATATTATTATAAGGAAATTAACTCGGCTCCGCCTCAAGTGACCAAGCTTTCTTGTGGATTAAAGGCTTGTTAATCTACCGAATTTAGTTCAACGTTTCATCCACAACCATGGCCAAATCGTATCAATTAGAAGAGTGGAAGGCGCATATAATTCATAATTAATTATCAATTACCTAATCTTTATAATTTAATAATCGAAGGTATCAATAAAGAAACTTTCTGGTATTATTTCTCAAGACATACACTTGTTGAATGATGATGGCAGTCTTGGCATAAATCTACAATTAGCCTTTAACTATTTTTTAAAACTATTCCACCGATAAGCGTCGAATCTGAAAGATGCTTTTCCTCAGCAGATTTAATTTGTTCAAAAATTAGATCCAAATTGGAAGACAAATGAGTCTGTTCTCACAGAAATCACAAACCAGTCACAGCGTTTTTGATTGGTGCAGATCGCCAACAACCAGTTTTCTGAATATTTTCAACCATTGAAAACACTGGTTTATGATTTCTGTGAGAACAGGTCTAATATGATTGATGAATTGATGTTTTTGTGCCATTACTTACGGAAATAAACAATAATGTGAATTTTGTGTTTTGTGTCAAGTAGTTTCAGTTTAGTAGTTTATTATTACTGCATAGATGTTTTTTGTTGTTTTGTTTTAAGTTTAAAAATAAATTTGATTTTGTCTTTGCTTTTTTGATTACCTAATTTTTTCCAAAAAAAAAATAGTATTTTATTTTGCTGAAATATTTCGGGATTGAACCCGGGATCCCGGCATCGCAAAAACCTTCCAGGATTGCAATCCATTATTATGTTTGAAATGGAATCAAAACGATTTGAGGAAGTGTCCACCGTGAATATACAAAAAATGCAAATATACTAGAAAATACAAGAACCATCTCGGAATATAGTCTTGACATGTATCACTTCAGGTAAATATTTTTTCGTGATACTGCATAAATGTACTTAATGTCTCATGATCAAAATTATTGGAATTGAAAACATAGTTAAATATTCACGGCCGTCAAAGTTATAGTTCTACCTTTCTCGGGAGATACTTGAGATGATGTGAAAGAGACGGTCAGTAGTCAATCAATTGAAGTAAAAAACTGGCTAGGTAATCAAAACTAACGATAAACACTGAAAAGACCTGCTAAGGAAAAGACCAAATATGCCACTCACTCATGACATGACAAATCGACAGGGTGTCGACAGGATTACTTCGGTATTTATGTGGAGAACTTCTAGTGGAATCAACGAGGTCCCCCACATTAGGTAAGTAGAAAGTACCTTGGGGTGATTATTGATAGGCGCTTGCATGGTCCATTCCTGATGAGAAAGTTTGGAGTGATCTGTATAATAACCTTTTGGAACAGCTCAATGTTTCACAAAATATAAAAATAATATATAAAAAGAGTAAACTATATACAACGCAGCAACTATACACGATAACGATATCCCACAAAAAAAGTAACTACATAGGGATTTCGGAAACGGTATAAGAGATACAATTTCCGTTAAAAAGTTGCGCTATTTTAAGCCTAAGCAGATGCTGCAACGAAATTGAAGATATCTACAGGGTGTCCGTTTTAACACATTGCATGCCGCGTCGACAGTGATGTTTTCATTCAGGCCACGTCGGACATACAGGGTGACAATTTGAAAAGTAGCAATCGGGAATATCTCTTAGACAAAAAATACTAGCAGGAAGATCTCAAATACGTATCGCGGGATTGGAGAGGGAACCCAAATGAAGCACTTTTTGAGTCACCCCGCTTCCCTCCTTAGGGGGCTACTCTAACGTATTTTTTTCAAATAAGAACCTACTTTGTGTTGTACATCGTTGGATAGCTCGTTGCTTTCCCTTTACATCTAGGACTAGTAATTTTGACTATCTTTGAGTAGTAGTAGTATAGTAGTAGTAGTGATAGTACTCTACTTTACTGAATAGGCCCCTTGCATCAAATTTTTGTATTGCTGTTTTCGATAGTCCATGAAAAATAAGTCAACACGTGTTTTCTCTTTTTCTTGTTAGACAAAAATTGACGGAGATACAACGCTTTGAAATGTGCTTATTTTTGGTATCCTATGACGTCACTCCATGCTGAGTATATCTATATATACAAAACTTAATATTTGTATAACTTCGGGAATAATCATATTTGGGCGAAATAAAAAAAAAGTAATGATTTTTTTTCGATTTCCTACAGCTTGCAATAAACAATAATCAATTTAATTTTCCATGCAAGTACCCTATTCTCTATCGTTTAGGGTTTTCAAGAACATCGAGTTTGAAGTTTTGGCAAAATCTCGACAAAATTTAAACTTTGAAGCTCAATATCCCGTAAACTTCATAAGTTACAAAAACCAATTTTGCACGGCTTACAGAGAATTTAATACTCTTTTTAATGATACATAATTCAGGTAATTTTCTCAAATATCATTGACGATATGAGCAATTATTCATGTCAAGGTTCCAAAAAATGTTCAGAGCTAAAAATTAGATTTCCTTTTAGGATTTTTTTTTTCTCATCGAAATTTTTTAATGTTACTGATGTTAGAGTTGCTTCTAACTAATTTGGACTCGTTCTATCGATTTACAAATTCAGAATTGAGAAAAATCCAAAAATAAAATTTTGTAGTTTTTGGTACTTTTTCCTAAGGGTACCCCTTTTGAATTTTAATTTGCAAATCTTCAAACCTAAATATCTCGGTATCCAAAAGCGGTAGCGGGACAAAATTACCTTTAATTGAAGCTGTCAATGAAAGCCTCAAAATGGTCATTCGCTGAAATCGCTAGCATTTACGATTTTTGAGAAAATCGTGTTTAAAGTTTTGGGCAAAACGTCGACTAAATTTCAACTTTTGAAGCTCAATATCTCAGAACCTTCACAAATGACAGTAACTAATTGTAGGCAATTTTCTTAAATATCATGAAAGATATGAGCAATTAATTATTCATGAGAATGGCCAGATTCCAAAAATGTCCAGAGCCAAAAAATTGATATTCTTTTTGGATTTTTTTTCTCATCGAAATTTTCAAATGTAACTGATGTTAGAGTTGTTTCTGACTAATTTGGGCTTCCTCTATCGATTTAAAACATCGAAAAAACCAACTTAAGAAGGCAAAAAGGCCAACTTAAAACGTCGAAGAATTCAAGATTGGAGAATAATTCAACGTTTATGTTTTTAGACCCCTTGATTCCTTAGGGATTGACTAAATATCTCTACAGAAAGAAGCCTCTTAATATACTCCTGGACAAAATTATCGCACCATTGCTTATGGTGATGCCTATGTGCAGTGGTGCGATAATTTTGTGTATATAGTATATCAGAGCCGGTTCATTCACTTTCTAATAAACTGTCAGGTGATGCAATCTGACGGATAAAAACGCAATATGTAATCATCATCATAATAGGGAACTTGACAAAAAATTTAAACATGAAAATATTACTATAAATCATAAGAATACATTAATTAAAACCTATATCAGCGAAAAAAACATTTTTTTTTTGTCGCAAACGGCCACAATAAGGAATTGAAAATGCAGAAAAATTCAAATTATTTCCAGCGGGAAAAAACGCTCTGGTACTGGTCGTGACGTCCTGTAGTATGATTTATCAGTGTCTGTCAGCAACCGTCCATCACACCGTGAGTTCGTCTTAAAACACTGAGTACTCGGAGCATTTTCCGTCTTTTTCTCTTATGATGAGAAGAACAGGGATAAAAGAACAAAACAGCAACTCCGAGCGTTTACTCGAACTCTACATAATAAATACCCGTTAGCAGTGTTTATTTACGTTTTTCTCTGATTTTTAAAAATTTTATCAATATTAGAATTGGTTTACTTCGCTTAAATTCAATGATTAGCCTAGCATTATATAAATAAAACGATATACCTATTAATTATGATCAAAGAAGGAAATTCCAAAGGGCAATCCGCCAATCTATAATTTGTGATATGTTTATAGTAACAAAAGTAAGTAGGTATGTGCATTTGCCGAATGCTAGAGCAAAAAACACTGTACCCAACGTTGGATCTAACGTTGGGGCCAATGGTTGGACACATCGTGTGGCGCCGGCTTAACGCAAAATCATACTACGTGACGTCATCCAGATTTAAGGTCGTTTGAAATGCTTTTAATTCGCGCGAAACTTTAAACATTTTTCACCAAGTTATTATTGAGTTTTAGTTAATAATATTTGGGGAATACTCTTTCAAGGCATAAATAAATG